AAATGGATCTGAGAGATTTCATTACTCAAGCTATGAGACTGTGAATTCCTTTGTGACATCATTAAAATACAATTGCAAAGATTCTTGTTAAATTCCAAAATGACGGAGATTTTCCTATGCTTTTTGGATTTCTGAAGACTGAGGCTTTCTGCAGTGAGTACTCACCTGCCCCCTGCCCGTCCTTACTTCCTGCTCTACTTGAACGCAGGTGCCCTGCCCTAGGAAGGAAGCCGGACACTGCAGTAAATCTCCATGTTGCAACAGTCACCAGGTTTCTCAATTCAAGCCAAACATCAAGTGCCTCCTTGCTGAGTGATGGGGGAATCGCTGAAATCTGATGCTGTCCCTAGAAGGGGAACACTCAAGACAGAATGAAATCAGGGTCAGCATCGAGATATACAAAGTAGAAAGCAGGTACATTGGAAGGAGCAATGGATTTTGATTCTAAATAAGGAGAAAGATTCTTAACTAGATAGCCTTGATCTGGCCCTTGAAGGTCCAACAGTAAGAGTGTGGCAGGCTGGGCACGGTGGCTCACACCTGTAATCTCAGCACTTTGGGAGGCTGAGGTGGGTGGATCACGAGGTTAGGAGTTTGAGACCAGCCTGGCCAAGATGGTGAAACACTGTCTCTACTAAAAATACAAAAATTAGCCAGGCGTGGTGGTGGGCGCCTGTAATCCCAGCTACTCAGGAGGCTAAGGCAGAAGAATCTCTTGAACCTGGGAGGCGGAGGCTGCAGTGAGCCGAGATTGCACCACTACACTCCAGCCTGGCGACAGAGCAAGACAAAACAAAGTCACTAATGGCTAGGACGAACCTTACGAAAAAACAAAACAAAAAACTTGAAAGACAATTTTAAAATTAGGAAATTGGAGCAGGAACCCGCAACCAGGAACAGAGCCCTTTGCTCCTCCCTCAGAATGAATGGAGACCAAAATCAGATGTTTATGCCCAAGAAAAGCAGGATTTCGTTCAGCACTTCTCCCAGATCGTTAGGGTGCTGACTGAGGATGAGATGGGGCACCCAGAGACAGGAGATGCTATTGCCTGGCTCAAGGAGGTCCTGGAGTACAACGCCATTGGAGGCAAGTATCACGGGGTCTGACGGTGCTAGTAGCGTTCCGGGAGCTGATGGAGCCAAGGAAACAGGATGCTGATAGTCTCCAGCGGGCCCTGACTATGGGCTGGTGTGTGGAACTGCTGCAAGCTTTCTTCCTGGTGACAGATGACATCATGGATTCATCCCTCACCCGCCGGGGACAGATCTGCTGGTATCAGAAGCCAGGTGTGGGTCTGGATGCCATCAATGATGCTATCCTTCTGGAAGCATGTATATACCGCCTGCTGAATCTCTACTGCCAGGAGCAGCCCTTTTACCTGAACCTGATCGAGCTCTTCCTGCAGAGTTCCTATCAGACTGAGATTGGGCAGACCCTGGACCTCATCACAGCCCCTCAGGACAATGTGGATCTCGACAGATTCACTGAAAAGAGGTACAAATCCATTGTCAAGTACAAGACGGCTTTCTACTCCTTCTACCTTCCTGTAGCTGCAGCCATGTACATGGCAGGAATTGATGGCGAGAAGGAGCATGCCAATGCCAAGAAGATCCTGCTGGAGATGGGAGAGTTCTTTCAGATTCAGGATGATTACCTTGACCTCTTTGGGGACCCCAGTGTGACTGGCAAAGTTGGCACTGACATCCAGGACAACAAATGCAGCTGGCTCGTGGTCCAGTGTCTGCAACGGTCCACTCCGGAACAGCGCCAGATCCTGAAGGAAAATTACGGGCAGAAGGAGGCTGAGAAGGTGGCCAGAGTGAAGGCATTATATGAGGAGCTGGATCTGCCGGCTGTGTTCTCGAAGTATGAGGAAGACAGTTACAACCACATTATGGCTCTGATTGAACAGTACGCAGCGCCCCTGCCCCCAGCTATCTTTCTGGGGCTTGCGCGCAAAATCTACAAGCGGAAAAAGTGACCTAGAGACTGCAAGGGCGGAGAGGAGGCTCTCAATAAATAAATTATTGTGTAAAAAAATAAATAAATAAATAAATAAATAAAATAAAATTAGGAAATTGTCACTGAGGCATATTTTGTCTTGGAAAAACAGACTATGACTGTGTCTCAAAACAGGAAGCAAAGGGATAGTGAATTACAATATAATATGTACTTGCAGATGTAAACTACGTGAGAAGACAAAGTGAAGCAGTCAGATGTTTGCAAACATAGAATCCTGTTGAGGACGCGGCCTGCAAACGTGGGCCGCAGTACACAGCACACTGATTCCAGGGCTGTAAGCAGTGCTGCCCTCTGATATCTTTCTGAAGCAATACAAAATTCTTGTTAAAGTTTGAAATTAAAGTACAGTCTTCCTTCAGCTTCCATGTTGCATTTCTAGAACATTTGGAGTATATCAGAATCCTGCAAAATGTACTTTTAAATATGAGTTAAATTCTATTATTAGATAATTAAATTTTTTTTTGCCTAAATGACTTGTCAACATTTATGTGAAAGTGCAAGACAGTTATTTGTCACTGTGACAATCAAATATACTCCACACATTCCTAAAGATGGGAGTATGGTACTGCTCCCACTGAAAATCTGGAACGGGTCCCCGTGAAATGAAGCAACTGTGGTTCAAATATGTTCAATGGAATGTCCAAAGCCATCAAGCCAGTGGGGACACTAGTGGAAACCAAAGAGAAATGACTTCCTAGCTTCCTGGTCAATCTTGATGCTACCGTAGGATGGTGCTCTATGCTATACCTCTTGCATCATTGCAAAAAGTCACCCCTCATTTGGAGTGGACCTTCCAAGGTTAAACAAAAGAGTACATTTGCCAGGCACAGTGGCTCATGCCTATAATCCCAGCACTTTGGGAGGCTGAGGTGGGTGGATCACCTGAGGTCAGGAGTTCGAGATCAGCCTGGACAACATGGTGAAATCCTGTCTGTACTTAAAAAAAAAGCCAGGTGTGGTGACACTCCTGTAATCCCAGTGACTTTGGAGGCTGAGGCAGGAGAATCACTTGAGCCTGGGAGGTGGAGGTGGAGGTGCAGTGAGTAGAGATCATGCTATTGCACTCCAGCCTGGGTAATAAGAGTGAAACTCTGTCTCAAAAAAAGAAGTATATCTCAATTTTATCAATAGAAGGCTTTACTGATAGTAGATGCTAAACCATAGTCTAAGTGCTAAACAAGTACTTGAGTCACACGGTTTATAGAAGCTAGGATGAAAGTCTCTAAAGTGAAGAACAGCAAGCTTTGTCCGAGGCAACTGGGAACATCAGAAGGTGTCCTGCTTTGGTCTGTATCTGAAATACTTTCAATGAATTATAATGTAGTGCTATATCCTTGGCTTTGAGATCAATATAATGATACAGAAAGTGCAGTTTGGCATCTTCTGCCAAGCCACTGTCTAGGGAGTTGATTGTCTTAGTCTTTTTCTTTTTTGAGACGGAGTTTCACTCTTGTTGCCCAGGCTGGAGTGCAGTGGTGCCATCTTGGCTCACTGCAACCTCTGCCTCCTGGGTTCAAGTGATTCTCCTGCCTCAGCCTCCCGAGTAGCTGGGATTGCAGACATTTGCCACCACACCCGGCAAATTTTGTATTTTTAGTAGATACAGGATTTCGCCACGTTGTTCAGGCTGCTCAAACTCCTGATCTCAGTTGATCCACCCGCCTCTGCCTCCCAAAGTGCTGGGATTCCAGGCGTGAGTCACTGTGCCCAGCCGATTGTCTTTGTCGTTTGCATCTTGAGGATGTCTTTCTGTTTCTTTCGGTGTGTTAAAGCTACAGACAGTATCTTGACTTTTCATTTCATTTTGTTTTGCTTTGCCTTGGCTACCAGGAAGGCAAAGCTCTTAAGGCTCAAGTGCGGTCACTGTTACTTCATGTTCTTGGTAGAATTATCAGCCCCTTTTCACTTGCTGCTGCTGTCTCTCTGACTCTATTTTAGCTGTCTTCTATATGCTTTTATTGGAAGCTGCATCATATTTTTGTTAGAAGTAGAATAGGGTATAAATTACCAATTGGTCAAGTCATGAACCTTAAGAACCTGGATCAGCGCCTGGGGTGTTCAAGAAATATTTACTGAATGACTGGATGAATGGATCCCGGAAATGATTTCATTTTTCTGTAAATCCGAGTGAATGGCCACTAGGGGGAGCGTGAGCGCTCATTTAGCGGTGGAAAGGGCGCGTCTCACAGGTGGGGTCCACAGGTGTGGGTTTGGGAAAGTGAGGATAGTGCTTTGTAATGATCATTGAACCCTGTATTTCTAAAATGCATAAGACCCAGCCACCTGAATGGGCGAGCCGTTGAGTATTTCTGAGACCCCCACCAGGTCACTGGGTGGTGTCATTACCAGCCAGGACTGCAGCTATGTGGTCCTGCTTACCTGGAGAGCTGGAGACCAGAGCCAGAGAGTGGGGCACAAACAGCCACGTGGAAAGAAAGCACAGTGCATGGAGCACGTGTTTGCAGGCAGGTGCAAAAACTCCTCACTAAAAACACCCAAGAGCCAGGTGCAGTGGCTTAGGCCTGTAAACCTAGCACTTGGGAGGGTCAGGCAAGACTGTGTGAGCGCAGACCAGTCTGCACAACATGGCGAAACCCGTCTCTACAGAAAAAACTTAGCTGGGCATGGTAGCCTGAGCCTGTAGTCCCAGCTACTCAGGAGGCTGAGGCTAGAGGATCGCTTGAGCCTGGGAGGCTGAGGCTGCAGTGAGCTGTGGCCATGCCACTGCACTCCAGCCTAGGTGACAGAGTGAGGTCCTGTCTCAAAATAAGTAAATAAAAACTCAGGAATCAGACAAACCAGCTAGCTCTGCATCCAGCAGTATGGTTAGTAGAGTGGAAATAAGAAGACAGCATGAAGAACTGAGGGGAAAGTTGAGAAGAATGGGCTCATGAAGTTGGTGACTTGATGGCTAATTTGCACCTTGACACCTGGCACTTGGTCACACGCTGTTTTCTATTACTTTCCACTTTTCCAGAGACTCAGATCCTTGGGGCACTGAGGGCTGCTAGTTTCATCTGTTCATCTGGAACCTGGATCTTAGGAGGGAGGAGGCTTTACCCCTGCAGCACAGCCAGGTACCAGCCCAGCCAGGCACCAGCCCAGCCAGGCAAGGGCCTAAAGGCCTTGTTGCTTTGTGACTTTTCCCTTCGTCTAGACAGGAAGCCTTTGGAGAGCAGGTGCTTGTGGGTGCGTTATCAAAGACTAGACGCCAGGACCATCCCTTTTCAGAGCTCTGGATTTTCTGTGCCTCATGCAAGCTCTGCAATTGGGATGAACAATATATTTTAATTTTATTTTACGGTAGGGAAACTGACAAATATTGAATTCCATAACCGAGCAATCCTTGGCCAATAGGCCCATGAACTTGAATAGAGAAAAAATTAAATCTTTATTTTTATTAAACTTTAACTAAAATTTAGCATTTCCTTGAAGTACGGATATAGGCAAGAAACCACAGTAGAATCTGCAGAACTTGTGACTTTGTCACCAACAGAAATCATGGATATTTTCATACCACATGATATGTTGTAGATATCTCAAAACAGTGTTTCTGTTCATCACTACTTTGAAATTATGGGAGTCCTTAGATCACTGCTAGATCTTAACATTTCATGCATCAATGAACACATATATTACTATATTACAATTCTAAAATATTTCAGTATGATCAATTTCCTGTGTAACACAGTATATTTTATGCATTTAAATACACAGGCTTCACCAGTCTACCAAAGATTAAGAAAAAGGTTAAGAACCTTTGCTTAAAGAAAATGATACCTTAGAGCTCTATTAGCCTGTCATTCACTAATTTGCTATGAATCATAAATGAATATAATGTGGATTTCTTTTGAAGCCCAGCAAAGGAAGTGTAGCTTTTAAAACATTGAAAGGACGTCTTATCACTAAGGGATTCACATAGATTTAATAACAAAAATAGGAAGTATAGGAAGTATGTTGATTTGATCTTCTACATTTTCTGGGTAAAAGGATGTATGCAGAACCTTTAACTGCCATTAAACAAAAAGAGCTAATGCAGAAGGCAGCTGATGACACTTATTCAAGACTAAGTAATTGGTAGGCTGAGCTTGTGGTGATGCCGCTTCATCCCTCCCTAACTGATTAAAATTTTTTGAGTGAAGTTAACTGTAAAAATAATAGCCAATACTTGAGAATGTCATTTTTCTAATGTATCTTCAATTAGGATAATGTACATTTATCACAGACTTTTATGTCCTCTGACCACTGAAGATATGGAATTCATATTTGGAAAATTCAAGTTTGGAAGGTTGAGGCTTTTAGAAATGAGAAGTGTTGTTTAAGAAAATTCAAAATGTTACATTATCACCACGAGCAGAAAATGCAAGGGTTTGTGTAGACTATTTTGTCTTTTTGGAAGTAATGTTGCAGAGATACTTAAGCTAAGAAAGATGTTGCCATTTTTTTTTTTTTCCTACAGGTATTGAATGGGCTGGGTTTTTAGTGATCGCCCCTGCTCACCTGGAAGCATCTTTATTGGAAGGTTAACTTCTGTGAGTCATTGATACTCTTTTGATTGCTATTTGTAAATTTCCTCAGCTTGAGATACTTCTGCTTTGCAGAAGTTATCTGCTTGCAGCTGTACATAATTTATATCAATCTCTGGTGAAACCTCAGAAAAAAGATATGCTTTTGTCTTAGATGGATGTCAGCAGCAGCGGAACCCGGTGAAAACACCCCCCGCCCCTTCCCCGTGGCACCAGGCTCTGCGAGCGGTAACTCCAACAAACCGACAACCTCTTGAGACCTTCTTCTTCTCAGGAGTATGACACAGTTAAAAAGGAAAAAGCCACGAGCAAAACAGTTGCCAATGAAATAGGAGAGGGAGCTCTTTAAACAAGGCTGGCTGCAGCTGGCCTCCGCCGCTCATCTGCAGGGAGCTTGGTCCGTGGAGTGAAGCTCTTCTAACCTGGGTCAACAAAAAGGGAGAAGAAATGGCCCAAGAAATAGATCTGCATGCCCTCAAGGAGCTAGAACTTGAGGCCGTTCTCCAGGTCCTGTACAGAGACCAGGCGGTTCAAAACACAGAGGAGGAGAGGATACGGTATGCTGCCCCTTCCTGGGGTCACTTTGGGTTTTTAGCTTTCTCTTCTCGGGGCCCGCCACTCCGTTGCTGCTGCTTGCTTACAAATCTCTGCCCCGTGCCTCTGGGCTTCGTGCCTGAGAAGGGTCCTAAGTAAGGGCTGTTGGTGGAGACGATCTTCATTATCTAACTAAACGTAGAAGATGCCCAGTAGGAGGGAGGCCGCTCTTGTTATTTATTTAAAACGGTGCCTTTGGGCTGTAAGTTTGCTGTCTGCCATCTGCTATCTGTTTGCTGACTTTGTGGGAAATATTCAAGGGACGTTTTGAGGCTTCCAGTTGACCCCTTCTTTCTGGAAAGACCTCAGGTTAAGGGTTTTCCTACCTTATTTTTGACGGTGCCCAGAGGCGTAGAGAAAAGCAAAGAAAGCAGCTCAGAAGAGCAAATCCGATGGGATCCAGCCCTGTGTTTTCTATTTGATCGCTTTTGCTTCCCGGTTGGCTTTGAGGAACCGGGGAGCATAAAATATGAACCCGCTTAGCCTGTTCCATGACTGCTTTGCCAACAGGGAACTTCTTCCCTGGCTGTCTGTAAGCTGCGAGGCTGTTGGGTACAGGTTAACATTTAGAAAAGTGTGCTGAACTCTATCAGGGTTCCGCCTTCGCTGCCAAGATCCATCTTTAAACAGGTTGGCGCTCGTTTGTCCATGTCTAGGAAGGAAATGAGGTTTAGAAAATAAGCAGGTGGGGCCGGGCGCGGTGGCTCAAGCCTGTAATCCCAGCACTTTGGGAGGCCCAGGTGGGTGGATCATGAGGTCAAGAGATCGAGACCATCCTGGTCAACATGGTGAAACCCCGTCTCTACTAAAAATACAAAAAATTAGCTGGGCACGGTGGCGTGTGCCTGTAATCCCAGCTACTCAGGAGGCTGAGGCAGGAGAATTGCCTGAACCCAGGAGGCGGAGGTTGTGGTGAGCCGAGATCACGCCATTGCACTCCAGCCTGGGTAACAAGAGCGAAACTCCGTCTCAAAAAAAAAAAAAAAAAGCAGGTGGGATATGTATTTTGGTTTGCTTTGGTTTCTAATGGCAAAACACGTTAGAAAACAAAACTTCGGACAACGAAATGCTTGAGGAGTGAGGGGATTTTCTGGTATAGTATTCTTTCCTCATCCTCTCTGTTATTTCAAAGCTCTCTAAGTGTACTCTTAAGCTTTCCTCTGTTAAAAACTATAATACAGGCTGGGCCCGGTGGCTCATGCCTGTAATCCCAGCACTTTGGGAGGCCGAGGCAGGCAGATCACCTGAGGTCAGGAGTTTGAGACCAGCTTGGCCAGCAGAGTGAAACCCCATCTCTACTAAAAATACGAAAATTAGCCAGGCGTGGTGGCAGGTGCCTGTAATCCCAGCTACTCAGGAGGCCAACGCAGGAGAATCCGTTGAACCTGAGAGGCCGCGGTTGCAGTGAGCTGAGATTGCACCACTGCACTCCAGCCTGGGCGACAGAGTGAGACTGTCTCCAAACAAAACAAAAAACCTCCCACCACTAACAACAAAAAATGAAAACAAAACCGTGATGTGGTGAGAAAAGTGAAATTGTATTTGACGAGGAAAGATCTTCCAGTGGTTTAGAGACATCACTTTGGATATTAACAAAAGGACATAGGTATGGTGGTGAGGAAGTTTGTTCCCGAGGGCGCTGATTCTAGGCCAGATCCTGAAAGCTGAGTTTTAAAGTTCGTTCCTGATGTCATCCTGTTTCTTGGGATTGGCTCATTTCTTCTACAGTAGGTATCATAGACATTTCCTGACAGGGAGGTAATGACCCTTTTTTGATCCAATGCAATGTCTCTCTGCGCTATGGCTGTTTGTCTAGGGGAGTGAGAGGCTAGAAGTGGGCTAACCACTCAATTAAAAAAAAAAAGTAGCAAAAACATAGCATCAGTTGATGGAATTAGGTAACTCACCAATAGCAGAGATGTATGCTGTGTATTTCTAGATTGCTCCAGGCCTTCCAGATTAAAATGGATGCTCTTTTCTGTGTCTTTTCCTCTCCTCTAACTATTCTTGCTTACCATCTTAACAGCCTTTGGGCATGAAGGGACGGACGTGGTAGGGAACTTCTTTGCACCAGGCATGTTCTTTATACTTTGCCAGTTAGTCCTCACAGCAACTCTGAGAGGTAACGTTGTATCACCTGTTTGACGTTGAGGAATCCCCTGAGCCTCGACGCTGAGTGACAGCCCAGTTCACACAGCCACATGGGAGCCCAGTGATGTCGAATGCCAAAGCCCCTTCCCTTGCCACGGGTGGTGTCGCCTGGGCTCTTGCCCCGTAGCCAGGTGTCGGGTGTTCCATTCAATGTTATCTTCTTTAACTCTGGGCTGCAGGAAACTGAAGACGCACCTGCAGCATCTCCGGTGGAAAGGAGCGAAGAGCACGAACCGGGAGTACAAAGAGAAGTGCTGTGCACGCTGCCAGCAGGTGCTGGGGCTCCTGCTGCACCGGGGCGCTGTGTGCCGGGGTTGCAGCCACCGCGTGTGCACCCAGTGCCGTGTGTTCCTCAGGGGGACCCCTGGCTGGAAGTGCACTGTGTGCTTCGAGGACAGGTGAGCATGGCTTGGGTCTCAGAGGAGACCTGTCCACAAACGGCTCATGAAGGGAGCACTCGGTCCTCACCTTCAGCCAGGAAATGTGTATGGAGCACCTGACAGGGAGCTACCTTCCTCGATTTGGAAGTTATCCTCATCCAAAAATCAATTTTATCATATAACAACATTTTTTTCATTTATGGAAGTTTGGGCCAAGCGCAGTGGCTCATGACTGTAATCCTAGCACTTTGGGAGGCCAAGGTGGGTGGGTTCCTGGAGTCCAGGAGTTTGAGACCAGCCTGGGCAGTGAAGTTAGACCCTGTCTCTACACAAAATACAAAAGTTAGCTAAGTGTGGTGGTGCATGCCTTAGCCCCAACTATTTGGGAGGCTGAAATGAGAGGATCACTTGAGCCTGGGAGGTCGAGGCTGCAGTGAGCTGTGATTATACTACTGCACTCCAGCCTGGGTTTCAGAATAAGAACCTGTTTAAACCACAAAAAAAAGTTTAAGTCTAAGGATGGGCTAACCCAGGAGTTCAGGTTCATTCAGATTTCTTAACTAAATGCCTTCATTTCCTTAGCACTTACTTTCTCTCCTCCAGTACCAGTGGAAATTATAATCCAGGGAATATCGGAGTAATACTATGAGGCTTTAAATACTGCCTTTTTGAAGGAGGCAAGCTGACCTGTCTTTGATACTCAGGCTTCCCATTAGTGACAGACTACAGTTACAGTTACAGTCATCAATTGGTGTTAGCAGGTTTAAAAACCAGTTTTAACATGGAATTGGTGTTTTTAAACTCCCCATTCTGAAAACAATAAAGACCCAACTTGGCTTAGACTCCCGTTGCTCAAAGCAAGAATGAACTGGTCACGAGTTTCCTGAAATCACTAGAGGGGTGACTCCGTCTGCTGGGGGAGATGGTGCACAAGGACATCACAGGACTGGTATGAACGGGAGTCATCAGAGACTCAGATTAAAAAAACAACTTTTTTTTTTTTATTTTGAGACGGAGTTTTGCTCTTTGTTGCCCAGGCTGGAGTGTAGTGGTGCAATCTTGGCTCACTGCAACCTCTGCCTTCTGGGTTCAAGTGATTCTCCTGTCTCAGCCTCCTGAGTAGCTGGAATTATAGGTGCCTACCACCACAGCCGGCTATTTTTTTGTATTTTTAGTGGAGATGGGGTTTTACCATGTTGGCCAGGATGGGCTTGATCTTTTGACCTTGTGATCTGCCCGCCTTGCCTCCCAAAATACTGGGATTACAGGCATGAGCCACCATGCCTGGCCTGAAAATAACTTCTAAATATTGCCACAGATGTGTGAGTGCCCCAGGGACAAAGATTATGGGAGGTGCTTATACCCTGTGGGCATGGTGGCTGGGGTTTCTCTCCCCCACATCAGGAGGGCTACGTTTCATGTACACACCGGCATTCGTCTAGTGTCCTGCCCCTTTGCAAGGCTTACTGTATTTCAGTCATCCAGCCAGAGAGGTGAAGTGGCTCAACCCGATTTCTTTGCTCTTGAGCCGTGTCCCTTCCATTTCACTCATGGCGTGCCAAGTCACACAGACAGTGGCAGAATTCGCCTTCTCATGTCGTGTTTCTTTGGTTTGCTGAAGCCAAGATCCTTCAGGCTTTTCCTCGCTTGAGAGTAAAAAATAAAGAGTTACTGTGAGCTGCCCTGGCTGCAGAGAGCGCAATTCCAAATCATCTCTAGAAAGGTCTCAGGGTCTTCTTCCCCATTTCAATCAATCATGTATATTTGACGTCTAATGGTAAACATTGCTGGGCAGGGTGTTACATTTCTCAGCATTTTTTCTTCTTCTAACAATGAACTATACATGAAAAATCAAAACAGGAGGACAAGGTCTGAGGCAATCTCCCAGGAAGCTGACAGTGTTGAAATCTCTGCCCTAGTGAGCATTGTGTCTCAGGCACTGTAACTTTACCTTCTAAGTACATGAAACATGACCTTGACTTCAAAAACCCCAGCTTCCTTATTTTGAAATAAGAAGGGTTTTCAAAATGTCTAAGGTCATTGCATGACTCTGAGTGCATTCACAGGAAAGTCGGGAGGGGAGAGAGCGAAGTAGTTGGTGGTGACATGCATTTTCCTTCCCGTTGCCTTGCTCCCTGTCCCCACAGCCCTCTGTCCTCTCTCCAACTTTATCCAATCTGGGCTGTCCTCCTCCTCTTAGGACCAAAACAAAGATGAGACTTTGTGACACTTTAGGATCTTTGACATTCATAACTGTGGCACATAGGGGGACCTGGAAATGGTTTTTGACCCCAGTCATTGTCTCCCATGCCTCTTCCTTTGCTTCAGGTTCATTCCTCAAGAAAAAGTAGATTTGTGGTTCTGAGCAGGATGAGAACTCGGTTTTTAAAATCAGGAAAGGGGAAGTGCTAGGGTAGCAATGACCAAAACCAGCCCACCAGCTGCGAGTGGCTGCAGAACAAGAGGCCCGTGGAAGGTGCTGGCCCTGACTGTGTGTTGAGAGGCTCCAGGAGACAGTTAAGATAAAGTTTCTGTCTTCAGGGAAAGTTTTCTCTTAGAACTACTGAGTGCCAGGCTGCTCAGGGACCCAGGAGCTCAGGGGAGGGAGACACGGCAGGCTGAGGGGCTCAAGATGACTTTCAGAACGTCCACGGTTGGAATATGCCTTTAATGTTTTCTTAGGAGCTTAAAACAATCTTATAGGGTAGCTACATTGTTCATCCTCGTTTTATAGTTGAGGAAGTGGAGGATTAGAGACACGAGATGGTTTGTCCATGGTCATATCAGTAAGAACAGGGTGAAGACTGCAACCCAGGTCCCCTGGCCTCCCAGGCCTCCCTCTGAATCTCCAGTCCTCTCCAGCCTGCTGGGAGCCTCGTCCCGGGAGGGCAGAGTCTTTTTTGTTTTTGTTTTTGAGATAGAGTTTCACTCTTGTCAGCCAGGCTGGAGTGCAGTGGTGCAATCTTGGCTCACTGCAACCTCTGCCTCCTGGATTCAAGCGATTCTCCTGCCTCAGCCTCCTGGGTAACTGGGACTGCAGGTTCCCACCACCATGCCCAGCTAATTTTTGTGTTTTTAGTAGAGAGAGGGTTTCACCATGTTGGCCAGGGTGGTCTTGAACTCCTGACCTCAGGTGATCTGCTTGTCTCGGCCTCCCAAAGCGCTGGGATTACAGGCGTGAGCCACCATGCCCAACCAACAGTCTTAAAAGCCACGCAGAAGAGCTTGCCTCAGAGGCAGTAGGAATTGGAGGATGAGCATTTCCTCCTTGCCAAGTGAACACTATGCCGAAAGTGTGCGTGATTCTGCAGGGCAAAATCAGGAGGGCGGAAGGTGAAGGTGAGAGAGCGACCTGAGAGTTGTTGCAGTGAATGAGAGGCGGCAAGGGAGGAAGCTGGCGGCAATAGTGAAGGGGAACATGAGACAGGAAAGGGAGGATGGACCTTGATTACAGCGGATAGAAGACAGAAGGGTGAAAAGCGATTCTGAGGACTGGCCAGACAGGTCGCTTGGCTTGCTGAGCTGGATCACAGGGCAGCAGAGAACCAAAGAAACAGAGTAAAAGAGAAGGAACAGAAAGAACCCAGTAATCAAAGGCATGTTGGAAAGGACTTAGAAGAACAAAGTAAAGTTGCTTTCAGTAGTGAAGGGGCTGCGTGTTGTCCTCAGCAGGGCCAATCAGCAGAGGGTGACTTGGGAGGAGAAAGAAAGAAGCTAAAAGCAGAAACACCCTTGCTTTCCACTGATGTTTCTTTCCTTGGAGTTTGACAATTTCTGCAGTGAAATGGCAGATGGTAAAAATTACATTGAAATATCAAGGAGGAGACTATGCTTTGTGTTTGTTTCAGCTTCATTTAAAAAATAAGATTTAGCTTGATGATTTATGTTTGCATTCATTTTTTTCTATTAAAACTAACACACTAAGTGGTAACATCAAATTCTATGTCTGACAGAAACATGCTCTTCTCCCTTAAGATTACTGAGGAATTACTCTTGTTCAAGACTTTTCCTTCAAATTGTGATCTCTCTTTTCATGCTTTGTAATTGCTGTGACCACAAGACATCGATTATTCTTCAGCTTCAGATATTTGTGGACACACTGCCCGTTTCATTAGGAACAGTTTCCTGCCAATCAGGTGCTTTGGAACCAAACTGATTTGTACAGAGAATTCTCTAAGTTGCAAATATTTTAACAACAATAAAGGTGCAACAGAGCTTATATCCCATCGTTAGAACAGAAGGTTTCAAGTTGCAGCAGGTGGTACTGTTGATTTCAGGGTAATTTCCTGCTCAAACTTGTCTCTTGTACCACACCTGATGCCAACAAAGAGCAGCTTATGTGTGTTTGAAAAATTGATCCAGAGCTTGGCATTTGAGTATCATGTTCTTAGTTCTCAGGTTGGGTCTTGAGTTATTGCTGCAGAACAGTAGTGGTTAAAGTAAGATCTTAGAGTTTATTCAAAGGGAGGTGAGCTGGATGTGGTGTGTCTATGCCTGTGGTCCCAGTTACTCATGGAATGCCCAGGCAGGAGGATCGCATAAGCCCAGGAGTTTGAGGCCAGCCTGGCCAACATAGTGAGACCTCGTCTCTAAAAAAAAACTTAAAAACTTTTTTTTGTTGTCATTCAGCATTTCAGATTAGGACTTAGATGTAAAGATACTGTTACATGATGATGCATTGTATTTTCTGCATTGCATGAAATAATTTCTAATGAAAATCAAGTGACATTTCAAAGGAAGTTCTATTATAATTGTTTCTGCCTAAAGTAAAACTTCCCAGAGTTTAAAAAATATAATCTCTTAAAGTTCAGACTGATACTCTCAGTATTTTTCTTCTTCTTTTTGAGATACAGTCTCACTCCTGTTGCCCAAGCTGGAGTGCAATGGTGCGATCTTGGCTCACTGTACCCTCTGCCTCCTGGGTTCAAGCGATTCTCCTGTCTCAGCCTCCTGAGTAGCTGGGATTACAGGTGCACCCCCACACCCAACCAATTTTTTGTATTTTTAGTAGAGATGGG